TAGGGACACAGGGCTTCCCTGGGGCTGATGCTGCTGGCCCCATCCCTCCCTTGCCCACTGGGGGTCCGTCGAGCATCACGGTCTGTCAGCTCCCTCCACATTTACACAGGCAACAACTCTGATAAAATCCTCGCTGCTTAGGCCACTTAGTCTCCACTTCTCAGAGAACCCAGAGGGACACAGTCAGTGACTCACACACCGAAGTCTGAGCTCCATGGAGAAGCACTGAGCTTTCCACGGGAATGAGCTGGACCAAAAGGAAGACAGACATTTCCAACCAGGCAGCATCTCCGGGTCCTCCCCATGGCCCTCTGAGGCAGGGCCAGTATTACAGAATGCCGTGGAAGGATCTTTGAGATGCCCAAGAGATCTGTGGGACCCGAGGGTGTGGCTGGGCCCAGGGTGCTCGTGGCCTCTACGGGAGCTTGTTTCCTTCACCGTCTCAACCAGGACCTACTTGATCTACCACGAATGTTTGTTGATGGGCTGATTTCAGCCACAGGATTATAATCCCTGCACTGGATGTTGCCACACATCCATGGTCTCATCTGAGCATCCTTCTGGGCCCTGGAGATAAGCACCGTGTTCCTCCCATTTCACAGGGTGGGAAAACTGAGTCCATGTCTGAGACATTGGGCAACTCGCCTGGGCTCACAGCTACCGTGCAGGGAAGCAGGGGCGGCACCCAGCCCGGCTGCCTCTCCAACTATGCGGGGCCCGCAGCGCCTCACTGAGACGCACGTGCGCCTTCCAGACAGCCAGGGAGCGTCAGAACATCAGCAGCGAGGCTACCAGGTACACAGAAGAGAGAAAAGCACGTAAACTTAATGGCTGACGCCAGAGTGTCTCTGAAGGATGGAAGTGATTTGGCTGAGAAGAGTATTTTGACAAACTCCTGGAGTGGAAGGTGTTTGCTGAAATCTGCATGTTGTCTGATTCCAGCTTCAGAAGGGAAGGCATGCTAGCAGGAGAGGAAGACGAGCTCCAGAGCCACCTGGAAGGCAGAGGGGACAACGGGCAGTGGTGAGAGGGGAAAGAAGTAGGTGCTGAGTGGTAGGGACCCCGTGCCTGGAGCCCTTCCCGAAATCTTCAATATCGCCTTGAAATGCTCTGGTGATGTGGGGTGCGTGCTTGCTGCTATGGTGTCTGAGGAAACCAAAGCAGGGGCTGAAGTTCAAGTTGGGGTGTTTATGATGTGAGACAGAGCAGCATGCAAGAAGGCTGGTGCCCACGACAGTTCGGAGCCCAGAAATGCTCAGGATTTCCAAGACACTCTGAAGAGGGCTTGGACCTTCCCTGTGCTGGCAAACTAGGGTTCCAGGCAATTCCTCCAGCTCTCGGGGCACGGACACCCCCAGCAGACTCAGGGCTGCACAAGATCGGCCCCAACCACAGACACAATACAGCAAGTATCCCCTGCTTGGCTGGAACCTTGGACAATTCTTTCAATTTAAAGGGAGTCTGTTCTGCTCTCTGGAATGAAGTGTATGAGCAATTTCAAGATGTGCCTTCATGCTCTGGGAACTCAGGGTGGTTTCTGAGCTGTCTTCCTGCCCCTTTTGACCCTTGGGTATTTTGTAGGAAGGCACCTGGCCCTCTGCTTGGCAGCCAGCCCACGAGCAGGCTCCCCAGCCAGGGCAAAGGGAGCCTGAGAGACAATTACTCCAGGGATACCGGGTGGGGGGGTGGTGGCACTCAGAGGTCACTCATCCCATAAACACGAAGACAGAGCACCGAGGGAGGAGGAGCAGGTGACTGTGCTGGCAGAGGCAGGGACAGGACCTTCCTCCTCCTTCTGCCAAGTCCCTCTGCCAGGTTCAGGAGATGATGCCACCTTTCTGATTGGCACTAGAGCTGCCCCTCCCCCCCTCTCCCGTCATCTCCCGGGGGGACACGGTGTGCAAAGAGTCCCCAGGTAAGAGCGGGCCTGGGAGGGGCTGGCCACCCCAGGGCTTCCTCCCCAGGCACGTGGCTTCGTTTCTGGTGGATGCATGTGGTGGGTAGGAGGCTGCGGGGCACATCAGACATCCTTCCTTATCAAGAGCCCACCCAGCACAAAGCACGGCTTTCTCACAAAACAGCGATCTCCACCTATGCCTGCTTCTTTCCCTGCTGTTCTCCTCGTTTCTATTATTTCCACACTTTTTCTGTGCTCTCGGTGTTTCAGGGCAGGCCTGTCCAGGAGCCCGCGAGTGGGTACTCAGCTCAGTTCACGAGTGTCTGTGGTGTGGGTGGGTTGCATCGATGGCCCTGATTTTATGACCTTACTACGTGTGTCCTTTGCTTTATAACTGTGCACCCCCTCCCACTCTGTGCCCTTGGCCACGTGCGTTACTTTGGCCAACAGGATTTTAGCTGATTTGAAGCTTGAAAAACTGCTTGTGTTTTCCCCTTCCTCTCTGGGACCTCTGTGCTCACTAGGAGAATGTGCCTGAGCTAGCCTGCTGGAGGATGAGCCCGTGGAACAGAGTTGAGGCTAGCCTTGACCAGCCAGTGGACCACCAGACATGCCGGAGAACTTCTGCTAAGACAAGAAGCATTGCAAGGGCAAGCCCTATCAAGAGCTACAGAAGTTCCCTGCTGGCCCATAGACTTGGGGACGATAAATGCTACTGTCTTAAGCCAATGAGTATCAAGCTGGTTTGATACGCTGCATTACTATGGCGATTGTTGTCTCCTGCAGGGCCCCTGTCCCCCAAATTACCCACAGACCAGACACAGCATACCTGCCATAGTGCCAAAGCAGGTGCGAGGTAATAGAATGTGTTTTGTTATGCTCAGAGGTCCCAGAGCAAGAGAGTCAGTGTTCAAACCCTAGTGCCACCGCTTGCTAGCTTTGTCTTTGGTCAAGTTAACCCTTCCTCAGTTCTTGTTTGTTTTAAAATGGGAATAATAATGTGATCTACTTCCCATGGTTGAGAGGCTTTATGGTCTAATACATGTGAAGTGCTTAGAACGATACAGTTCTCAGTCCAGATGAGTATGCCCATCTCTCTTCCCCTTCCCCCCACCTCCTGGGGGGCTGGAATGCCAGTCTGGTGCTCCCCTGTCTCCCCATCACCTGGCACAGGGCCCAGCACAGTAAATATCCATTGTTTGCTGAATGTCTAGAGGGAAACGCCACTCTTTATTAGCACAGATGCAAATTTCATGATTCTCTTTGAATCTAAGGCCAGTGACATCTTTGTTCTCTGTATAAAGCACGCATGTAATGTTTACCATTTTTTATAACTGGATTTCTTCCTCACTGCCTACTGTGCTGTGACATAAACCTGTTTCACTGTCAGGCATTTACACACACGGCCCATTCCAACCGTACTTAACTGACGCCTTTCCCGAGAGTTCTTGCCGATGAAGCAGGAGGGATGGAACTAGAGGGTTCGCCGCCTTCTGCCGATCCACAACCTGGCTACTTTTGGGACTCAGAGCCTCACGTTAGTTTTGCTCCAGAGCCTCCACCATCTGACAATCAGCCTCCTTCTCTGCAGCCTGACTTCTGGATTGTTTGCCTCCCCACGGGTCCCATGAGAAGTCCCCTGGAACACGACCCACTGATGTCCCTTTGTGCACGAGCAGGGTGGGAGGGAACTCTGCTCTGGTTCCAGTCTTGTCGCTTGCGGTTGTCAGATGGGTGAGGGCTGCTAACCAGGGTCCCCCCTGGAGGGGGACAGGGCTCATGTCCCACCCCCACTACTATGCTCTTGAAAATTTCGTGACTATGGGCAGTCTGCTGAAGAACACCTGTATCTCCCATCAGATTTTTAAAGGCCTCCAGAACCCCAAAACCGAGAACCACAGCCATGCTTAGGTCACCTCAGCCCTGTACGCCTCAGTTCTTTCGTGTAAACAGTGAAGTAATGAGAATGTTCTCTGATTCCATGTGTTTACAGGAATGTTGTAAATGAGGAAATGGATCCCGACCATACACTGCTAGGCAAATAGAGGCAATTGTTAATATCCCATTTGTTAATTCAGAAAATACTTAGGTTGTTTGGATTTTAAAGAGCGTTGCGCAAATTATATTAAACTAAAGACTATATAATTCTCAATTTTCTTTTCTCAGATGTGGACATAGTGAAATTTAGATCAGAGGATAGCATCTGGATAGAAAATGGACAGAGTTCTCAGAATAATGACAGCAAATGCTACCATGAACCTCATATGAATCATCTAATTTAATCATTATAACAAGCCCAGAGGAAGGTTTCTATAATTTCCTTCTACGGATGAGGGTCCTGATGCTCAGGAAGGTCAGAATAAGGTCAGGTGGCATGTGAAGGCAGCACTGGTCCACCCAGCCTCTCCTGCATAACGGGGGTGCTGTCAGCTGTCTCCTTGTACAAGAAGAATGCATTGTTCATTGCACATTGTCTGTGCAAAATGGGATGACTTTTCGGGGCCCTGTAGGAAAGCCTCTGATTCTGAATGCTTTGCATCTGACCCAGCACCTCGCCACTCAGGGGATTTAAGGAAAGTGACCTAAGACCAGTCCCCCAGCCGCACTGTGGGCATTGTGTTTCTCTCCCATAAACTGGGCATGCTCTGTCTCTTCCCAGGGTGGACAGCACCCAGCCCTGTGCCCGCAGGACATGGCTGCTCATTCTGCACTGGCACTTTTCCCCTTCTTGTGAGTGTTAGGACAGCAGAACCGGTCAGTGAAGAAGAGAGAATGTAGGGAGAGAGCCACATAGACCTAAACCGCGAAGATATTAGGTTCGTGCTGTCTTGTGGTTGGGACTGCCCGAGAGGCAGCAATAGGGAGACGTCGCCTAGAAGTGAGCAGACCTGGGTCTTATCCTGCTCTGCCCTGGCTTTTCCAGGCTCTCTGTGTGATCCGTGTCCCCACTGCAGGCTGTTAGGAAGATAAAGCAGTACAGGGGGTGTCCAGGGGCACCTGGCACAGCACCTGCAGAGAGGAATGACCCTAGGTCCCAGCGTGCCCTGAGGCGCTGACCCCATGAAGAGGCTGGAGCTGTGTGGGAAAGGCCACGGGCCCCTACCTTTCTCGGCTCCTGCCTGGTCATGCTTCTCAAAGAGCAGGTAGCGCGGGCTCTCAGGGAGAAAGGGCAGGCTCACCAGCTGCACAAAGGCGGGGACAGCAATCACTCCAAACAGGTATGGCCAGGTGCTCTCCTGAAGGGAGAAAGAGGAGGCCAGTGAATGGAGGTGGCCTCCAGTCATCCTGCTGGGGCGGGCCCCTGGGCCAAACAGCGTCAGCCATCAGCAGAAGTCCCTCCTGCAGTGTGTGATCCCCACCAAGAGGCTGAGCAAGGGAACGGACACAGGTTTGGCACCAGCCCCACGTGTATGACATTCTCCATGCACGAGGTCGGTCAGTTCTCACAGCCATCTGTGAGATGGTGACCTGGGGGGCTCAGCGGGGCCAAGACCACTCCGGGATATCAGGGCTGGTGGATGCTCTGACCTCTGGGGCATCATGGTGAGCCTTCCTGTTTGTGCGGCCTTGGAAACCACGCTCGTGGCCCCTGGGATCTGTCTCATCACCTGTGGGACGGGGACAGTCCCAGCCACTCTACAGGCTGTCCTGAGAGTATGATCGGATAGTGCTTGGGCTGTGGGGCCTGGCACACAGCAGGTGCACAGAAGAAACTACTGTCTTCATTGGTGCCAGCCCCCAGACGCCTCCGAGGCCCACGAGACCTGAGCCGTCTTGGTCCTGTCAGAGGACATACAAGGACAGCGGCTGGAGCTTCCCTGATTCCTGCAGGTGAGTGTGGTGGGGCTGGGGCACAGCAGGCCCCTTAGGCAGGGGGGTCTTCCCTGTCCAGCGGCTGGGAAAGCAAGGAGGGCCTGCTCCACATGCGGCAGGAGCTGTTCCTATGCTGGTCAGAGCAGCCTTCTCCTTGAGCTGCTTTTTTTTTTTAACCCCCGTTTACAAATGAAACTCTCACTGTGCCTCCGCAAGAAAAGAATGCCCGTGGGAGGCGGTTCTGATGGGGAGAAAGCAAAACGCTCAACGCCAAATTCCTGACATGTCTTATTTCCTCACAAAGCGAAGGAGGCCCAGGAGGCCCGCAAGGAGGCACGTTCAGACCTGAAAAGACTTGACACAACGGGGCCGTTGGGCCGAGGCTCAGGTGGCTTCGGGTCGGGTTCTGAGCGCCCTCAGGGGCAGAACTTCCCTCTGGTGTTCTCCCAGCGCTGGCTCCCTAAGGAGGCCCCTGAGGCCAGAGACCCCGGTAAGTCCCCAGTTCCCGGATGGCTCGAGGCTGGAGCAGGCAGGGACGCCTGAAGCACGGAGCGGGCCGACTGGCTCACGGAAGGGCAATGCCCAGGTCCTGATTTTCAAGAGACCTTTGACCCTACTCCGTGTAGAACAATGATTTATAGTCACAAAACTCCTCTGACGTCACCACCGTGCTGGGAGGAGCCAGCCAGGCCAACGCCAGCTTGGGGTTTGGTGGAGAGCTCCAAGTGAGAGACCAGGGGGAGGCGGAGGGCAGACTGGTGGTTGCTGGGGGCCGGAGGGAGCGGAGATGGGGACAGTGACTGCCCCCGGCGATGGGCTTCCTTTTGAGGGATGATGACGATATTTGGGGTTAGAAAAAAGCCATGAACATGCAACTTTGTGAATATACTAAAAACCACTTTAAAAGGGTGGATTTTATGGTAGGTGCATTATAGCTCTGTTTTTTTAAAAGACCAAGGGGGAAAGGCAAATGGCATACGTGTAAGTGGGATTTTCGCTACGCCTACTTGGTGTGCGTGTGTTGTCGCCGATTTTGTTTTTTCTTAGAGTTTACCTGCTGCCTCAGGAAAAGCAAAACAGAAAGCTGAGGGGAAAGACAATTAACCCAGTTAAGCTCCTACTATGTGCCAGGCGTGGTGTGAGCTTGTCACACAATTGTCTCCTTTGTCACACAACTGTCTCATGTCACCTCCCGGCAGCCAGGGAGGCCAGAGCTGTTGCTGCACGTTCCAGATGTGGAGAGAGCAAAGCCCAGGGGGAGGCCTGCCAGCCAGCAGCTGTGCAGATGGGAATCACGCCAAGCCCCCCCAGGCGCCCCTGCATCTTTTTTTTTTTTTTTTAAAGATTTTATTTATTTATTCATGAGAGACAGAGAGAGAGAGAGAGAGAGGCAGAGGGAGAAGCAGGCTCCCAAGGAGCAGGGAGCCCGATGCGGGACTCGATCCCAGGACCCTGGGATCATGACCTGAGCCGAAGGCAGACGCTTAACCATCTGAGCCACCCAGGCGCCCCCAGGCGCCCCTGCATCTTAACAGAGGGGTGAGATCCTGGGAGCTGCCAAAGGGCAGAAGGAGGAGAGGGGCAGGAAGGACAGTCCTGGAATAGGAACAGCATGTACGACTGAGGCCTGATCTGCCCGGGCTCAGCGGGAAACAACCACTGTGGCGAGAATGCAGGGCCAGCCGATGCCAGAGACATGGGAGCTCGGGTGGAGGCTGGTCAGGGACGGTTCTGCTGCCATCCCGTGGCACGTGGACGTGGCTCCAAGGACCGCCAGGAGCTGGGGACGGCTCTGCACACCTTCCCCTTCTTTGAATCGACAGTCCAGCATCTCTGGTCTCATGCTGTCAGGGACCACAGTGCGTGGATTTCTACTATTACTGACAAGCCAGGTCTGTGGTAGAGCCTGTGATCCGTGATGTCGTAAATGTGAGGACATGTGGACTCTTTCCTCAGGACGTCACTCTGGTGGCTGTGGTCTGGTCTCCACCTCTGGAGAAAAGTGGATACTACTGACTTCAAGGGGGGGCACCCCTAGCTTAGGATGCTAGCAGTGTCTGGACTGGGGGAGGAGAATGGCAGGAATGTCCAGAGCGGAGCTTGGGGGACATTTTACTCAGGAGGAGCCGAGCTTAGCCCACAGTGGAGTTCATGAACTTGGTTCCTCTAAAATCCCAAATCCCACAGCTGTCTGGATTAGAATCCTGCCTCTATCTGCCATTCTCTGTGGCCTTGGGCAACCTAACTGCTTATGTTCAGTCTTCCTTTCTGTAAAATGGGGATAACACTAATGCCTGTTCACTGGTCATGGGGAGCGTTACAGGAGTTAACAGATTTATCAAGAGCTCAGCAGGACCCTGCTCACTGTAAGCATTCAACAGGAAACTGTGGTTCCTATTATCAGCTGTGGTGAGAAGCCTGTTACAGAGATTATCTCCTTGAATTTCCACAGTAGCCCCTCTGAGGTACAGACCGTTAGCACACTCATGTTTCAAAAACATTCACTGCTGCACAGAGAGGTCACCGGTTCATCGAGGCCACTTCAGTCATGGAGACATCCATGGGGACATCAGGTCTTGGGTCTGAGAACCAGAGTTCTGATCCGTGGAGACTCAGGGAGGGATCACAAGGGCACCAGACCTGGGATCTGACTTTCTTCCATTGCCTCAGGCCAAAGACTCCCCAGTGACCCTCGACGGTGCTCCTGGGCATTTGGTCCCAGCACAGAGCCAAGGACTCAACATTTTGTACCACAGTTAGGACTTCTTGCCTCCTGGGGGCAGAGACCGTGCCCAGCACTGGGTATCTTGGGAGGAACAAGCGAGTGTGTACCCTGATCCCTTCACACAGAGCCCTTGGCAACTGCAGAGGCTCTAACTTACTGATCTAACTTTCTTTTTTAGCAGCTGTTCACAACAGAAGGTGTGTTCAAAAGAACATGTATTACTTGCCTAACACAGGACCATCAGGTGCTATGGAAAGTCAATCTCAGATGAGTCTCTATAATGCCGGTTAGAGCCTCCTACGTTTGGTAAAGCATGAGATCAGGTTGTTAAACCTGCTTGTTTTACTCGGGAGGAAAGAAAAATGCATCATCTTGTCAGTCAGGATGATTTTCAACTCCCTCTCAGGTCAGGTGAGTGGGTCGCACGCTAACACAATTATCTTGTTCTTGAATCTGCACGGTTTCCTTTTTTAAATTGACTTCTGGGTCGCACTGCCCCCAAGCTGTTGATGACTTCAGGCCTTTCCATAAATACTATCCTCCTGGACTGTGATGTGATGATTAAGCACAAAATCTTAAGTAGAGTTGGAACCATTGATCTTGCCCCAAGTCAGGTAGTTAGGAAGGACATTGTCATGTGCCCTCCACCCCCAGACAAGATGGACAGGGGAGGTGAAGCTGGTCAGCACTCAGGCCACCAACGGGACCGGCTCCCGGGCCAGCAACTCAGTGCTGCTAGAGGCGAGAAGGGGAAGAAGGAAGTGTACCTCACAAAACCGACGGGGGGACGAAATGAAGGATATTTCGATTTCATCACATTTAGGATCTGATTATAGTAACAGCCGAATGTTTGTCAAGCACTCCACGTGCCAAGCTCTGGGCTCAGTGCCCCACAAACGCAACACGTGTTAAATACACACCATTCATGATGCCATCAAAAAGTACAACCTTGGTTTCTGTCTCCTACGTTCCTTTAATGTTTAATTGGTGGGGGTGCTCCTCTCTGCCCTGTCCCAGGGCCTCAATCTTAGGACACAGACAGTCTCAGGATCACAGTTTCAAAACAGTAATTAAAATCAACCTGACTGAATGGTAAGACCCTGGGATCAGGATCTGAGCTGAAGGCAGACACTTAACCGACTGAGCCACCCAGGCGCCCCTGCATCTCTTCTAAAGACTCATGTCCTCTGCAGCCCCGAGAACTCCAGGGGCAAGGCTACCACGTACTGCTACTCAAATCCAGCCCACTCCGATCTCTGAGCTGAGGACCCACAGGGCAGGTTTATTAATTACACTTTTTATTTTCTGTATTTTACGACGCTTTGGCATCTGGGGTCCTTACTGATCCTGCAGAGACTGCCCCTCCCAGGGCTGGCTGAGTCTGGTCGTAGTAAACAACTTGCCTGAGAGCATGCCTTCTACACACAAACCAACCAGAGCCCACACCCCCAGTGACCTCCTTTATCCAACTGTCACACATAAGCCAATATTCCTCCCTCCCTAAGTCCCCCGAAGGTCAGATACCAGACAGCTTAGATGGTCCCTACAGCCCAGAGCCGGCCTGAAATCATCCAAACTATGCAGTCCTAAACTTGTTCAAGCTTGTCTCCCTGCCTTGCCCATTCCTGATGTAGAAACCAAAATAAAGGCTCCAGGCCTTGGTTTCCCCCTCCCTCCTTTCGCTTCCTCAGGGACCCT